TGTGCTATCGGGGTCAACGATGTTTTGCATTCTTTGGCATGTTTTTTTTTTTTTTTTGCGAGATTTACTGGGATTGCTGCGTGGCAAACGCGCGCATGCACGTGCTTGGCTGCCCAAAAAATGGATGTGCTACTTTTTAACGCTTTTTTAATTTCTGCCCACTTTGCAGTTTTCCCGCTTTGCAAGTTTGTAAAACTTTCTTTCCTTTTCTTTTTTTTTTTTATTTTTTTGCTTACTCTGTAAAGGAAAGATACGCGTGGGTAAATTATGAAATTCGAAAAATCGCGAAGTGTTGGAAATTTGAGAAATTTCACAAATTTGTCAAGTGAGAAATTTGGGAATTGCGGAAAATGGAAAAACTCGCAAATTCGGCATTTCACCCCTTCGCTTCGGTACGTAATTGCCCCTTTTTATTTTATTTTTTTTTCCTTTCTTGTCACCTTTCACTTTATACTTTTTGCAAAATGAAAAAAAAATTCCCTTCTTTTTGTATGTTCTCAGAACGCTTTTTTTTTTTTTTTTTTTGCACAGCGTTAACTGTAAGCATACACGTTTGAGGCGTTTGCAATTGGGTAAGTTAAACGTAGCAACACTGAAAAAGGGTTGCTAACAAGTTGGTAAAGGGGGAACGGGTTTAAAAAAAAAGAAAAAAAAACGCTTAAACAAATGGGTGAAAAAACAGGTGGTAACAGAAAGGGCTGAAAAACGCTAAAAAAAAAGTAATGATAAAATTAATTCATCTAAAATTAAGCAAATAAAATATATATATAAATAGCCAATACGAACACAAAACATGTTAAGAAAAAAAAAAATATGCCGGGGGTGACTAAAGATACACAAAAAAAAATAACTAATAAAATAAATAAAAGAACTAAGACAGTTACAAACAATTAAGCTAAACAAATAGTTACGCGCACTGTCACGTGGCCTTTATTCATGTTTTGCTAAAATGGTCAGAGGGACGTGCTCCTACACGAATAGGTATAGACGCCCATATTCCTAGCGCTTCAACTTAATTCCTCATCAAATATAGGCGTCGAACTTTTGTTAAACGACTTGTAATATTTATGTGCCCCCTCCTAAAAAAAAAAAGAAAAACGAAGGAGACTAAAATGAGTGGGGGCAAACGTTTGGGGAGTTACACGGCAGCACAGATTAAAAGAGACTTATATACACAAGCCGTAGACATATAAAGCGGGCATAAAATAATACAGGTGCTCATAACGCGGGCACGTACCCTCAGTTTTGCCAGCTGTAAGGTTAATATGATTTGCCTTTGGGTATCCTCAACTTTGGAGTGCTTATTTACAACCGTCATGTTTAGGTAGTCTTGCAGTTTCTGGTAGGTCGGGAGAGAGAAAAAAAAAAAAGCAGCTTGTGGAGAGGTGTCTATATGTATATATAGCAGTACACACGTACATGCGCACATGTGTAAGCAGGTCGGGGGATAAAGGCTTCAAGCAACAGTAGAAGAACCCGTTAAGTGATTACCTTTAACCGCTTTTGCGTTTTCTTCTTCGTTAAAAATATGCTAAAGTAGGGTTCCCTTAAAAGGAAAAGTGGAAAAAAGGGGCATATATATGTATGATGGCACATGTGCGTATACGCTCGGGGGAAATGCCAAAATTTTTTTCTTCTATGTACTGGTGGGGCAGTCACGCTCTCTCCCTCCCATCCTTTTAAAAGAATTTTTACTTTCCGTTGAAAGGGACACTGATGTACGACTTTATCACGTAGGCCTCGTACAATTGAATGAAGCAGCAGGCGTAAAGGTTGTCGTTGCTGCGTTCCTGCGAAGAGGTGTGGGGGGGGCGGCATGAAATGGCAAGCCGGGAAGAATGATGCGCAAAATGAGGAGCAAAGTGGCACTGCCCTCTAACGGGGGGCGCGAACTACGCTGCGAACGCTGCTGCGTCTGCAAAAGAGAAATGTTACGAACCTCCGTGTTTTCCTTTTCCTCCTTCAAATACGCCTCCTCAGTTATAATGTCAAAGTATGATATTTGTTGCAACGAGTTTGACTGGATTTTTTTTAACGCCTCGAGATGTTTCTCATGGGAAAATGGAGGGAAGACATTGGGGTAGTACCTGCAAAAAGTGGTTTAACAGGGAGTAAAGTTACGGTTAGTAATCGTACCGCTGCGTATTTCGTGCAAAAAATGAAAAAAAAAATCTCCCACAATTAATCTTATATGCATGTTTTACTTGTAGTGGTTAACTTGCCAGACGTCCCATATCCTAAATAGGGCTAAAGAACGAAAAGGGTGGAGATAAAAAAAAAAAAAAAAAAATGTGCAGGATCGAACCATAAATAAATATAAAACAAGTGTGCACGTGCACACTTTGCATGGGCATACCTCCAAAAAAGGGGGAAATCTCAAATTGGGTTATCCCCCTGGTCACCATGTGCGAACGTATGAGTGCTCACATATGCAAAGGCATTCGTTTGACTATTACGCCTCCCTCCTCCTGTTTTTACCTCTTGTAAATATTTTGGAGAAAAAAACGGACACATCTAGGGTCCTTCCCAGATGCCACTGGTAAATTTCCGACAGGTTGTTTTTATCCAGCTGCTCGTTCGTGGGGCGCTCTGTGGCCGCGTTTCCGCTGCTGCTTCCACCGATCAAGCCGATCACGCTGATCACGCCGTTCTGGCCATTCGCACTACTTTCAGCGCTTTCCTCGTTGTTCCCGCTGCCGTTGCTCCTTCCTCTCGGCGCGTAGCCGTCTGCACCGGGTCCGCACGGCTTTCCCCCCATGGCATTCAGCCAAAAGAAGGGAAAACCATACTTAAAATTGTAAAAAGAATCTACGCCCTCGGAGAAGAAAACGAAGTGATCCTCGTTGCTGTATATATCTGAAAGTAGGCTACGCCCCCCGTTGAGCCCTAAGAATTGAACGGGAGTTGTCTTGGCCACTAGGCAATCTTGCTTGGGAAGGTAGAAAATTTCAATTTGTATTTGCAAATATTTCAGATAAGTTAAATCGGGCAAAATAGAAATATCAAAGTTGTCTTTGGTGTACATGTTTATGGTTATAGATTCCTCGTGGACATCCTCTTGAGGAGGGGGCTCGGAATTTTTTTCGTTTTTCCGAGTTTGCGTAGTGACATCATATTTCATGTAGGTGTAGACGTGGCTGTAGCCGTCGTGGATGCCTCCTGCGCTGTCTCCCCCGTTGTTACTGCCGTTGTTTCCGCCGCTGTTATTTCCGCCGTTACTACCGCTGTTCCCGCCACCGCCCTGCTCCTTAAAGCTGAAGAGAAAATTGAAGGGCCTTTTGTTATTCAAAAGTGAAACGTTACTGGAATTTATCTCCATCTGGCCATGCATCATTTTAAAATAAACCGATGATAAATATTTCGTTTGGGGAAAATCCAAGGTGTCATATTTATCGATGATACTTTTGATGCTACTCGTAAAGAGAGATAATTTGTTCATGGAGGTGGCTTTTCGTTGATCATGCTTCGCATATTCTTCTTTGCATTCTTTGTTTTTTATCATTAATAATCGTAGGTTTTCTTTTGCATTTGTCCGATTGGAAATTTCCTCCTCCAAACATTTCAAGGTGTAAAAATGGGACAGTTCATCCTTTGAGTAATTACTGCCTTGCCGAGTCTTTTTAAAAAAATTATTCATAGACAACATTTTATTTTTTAAAGCAAACTTTTTAATGTTTTCATAATTCTTAGCTTCAAAGTTTAAAAATTTTCGAATCATTCGTTCGTAGTTATTTTTTTCTACATTTTCTTCGTCCACAATTAGAGAAATGAAGTTGTTATTTTCTTTCAATAAATAGGAGAATTGTCTCATGGTGAAAAGGTACATTTCGATCATTCTGTAAATCATTTTTATATTTAGGATGTTGTTTAATATTTGTCTTTTTTTCTCCATCTTGGTTTTCTGTAAGGGGGTATTATAATTTTCCGTGGAATTCTCTACACTGGGGGTGTTTTCCTTTGCGGTTTGTTGGTCTCTGTTGGCTTCTTCACCTGTGATTGCTCCCGTTAAGTTATCCTCGACATTGTCCACGCCGTTCATCAAGAGGTTATTCTCCTGAACAATTTCTTTGATTAATTTTTCATTCTCCAAGTACCTTTTTCGTAGCTCCTTCAGTTGATATTCGCATTCATTCCAATAGGAAAAAAAATTCCTCTTGATTTTCTTCATATAAGATTGTACAAAATTTTTGTCATTACCTTGAATAGAATTTCTGAATTCATCATATAGACTTAATTCACACTGGACTGTTGTGGAGTTTTCACATTTTTGTTTTTTACAACTTAGTGATTGTTCCTTCATTTCGTCATTACCATCCGTTGTTCTCTTATGGCCTCTTTTTAAATTATCATTTCCTTCATCTTCCCACTTAACCGTGTTTTTTTTTCCTAAATTAGCTTCATCCTTCGCGGTGTCCTTGATGGCGCCTGTCACGTCATCAACTCCTGCCGCCACACTGGGTAAGCTGTTGGATGTATTTTTTTCCTTCATATTCATATTATTTCCATCTTCATTTGCATTTCCTTTTTCATTCTTTTCACTTTTTGTGTAACCTGAATTAGGGGTAGTTTCTTTTTTTTGTTCTTCTTCATGTGCCTTGCTGTTACTGGTCGAATTGCAAGCTCCTTCCCTTTTCACGTCCGACATATGGTTACTATTTCCCTTCGAATTTTCATTACTTTTTTGTTCCCTTTCATTTTCGCCTTCTTCCTTCTTTAAGGAGTTCCTCCATTGCCTGTTTTCTGATTTTCTGAGGCTCTTACCGCTCAGCATCATTTAAATGGTGAGGAGAAAAAAAGGGGGGAGGAAAGGTACGAAAAAAATTGCCCCATCAGTTAAGCGCAAATGTTCACAAGTTTGTGACTTCTTACATTGATCCCAAAATGGAGAAAATTACCAACGGGATTACGTCTTTACAATATGTACAACCTTTATATATGCGCGGGGGAATTACATAAGGCCGTTGGCACAGAAGCACAATCCCACGTATGCGCTTAGGGAACATTCACGAAATGTTGCCCCACTTCCAGCAGCCCCCATGTGTTTAATTTTGCTCCCATTTCGAGCAACAAAAAATGAATGGACCTATTTTAATGCTATATGAACTGTTGACCAGAAAAAACTAGGAAGAAAATGACTTCCCCCTGCTACGTTTTTTACGCTTCGTGTAATCCCTTATGTACGTAGCGACATACCCATTTGGATTTTTTTTTTTTTTTTTCGTTTTGGAAAATTCCCAGTTGGGAAAAATCTTCATGTGGGGAAGTGGAAAATCGTGCTTCCCAAATAACGTGGGTATTTTTTACGAAAAAGATCGGCAAGTGCAAAACGCAGGAGTGGTCACCAAAGGAGGCGCTTCTTTTCTCCCTTCTTTTGTGCTGGCTTTTTATGGCGCAGGAAATGTGCTACAAAGCGGCGTTCATACCATATAAAGGTGAACCTATTTAAGCGGCACAAGGATAGTTAACAACTCGATCGAACGTTCTTCCATTTACCAGTGCTGCAACTGATGAATAAATAACATGGAAACCAAAAAGGGGGTCCCCAAAACAAAAGAGGAGTTTTCCCCGATTGGCACATCCTTTGTGGACATTATAAAACTTGAGTAAAGTTCATCCCCAAATGGATTGCAAAAGCATTTTGTTTTTCATTTTTCTCATCTTCTTAATAAGCAACAAATTGTCATAAAATTGTTTGCTTCGTTTAGCATATGGGTAGCGTTGTTTGTAAAAAAAAAGGGGGGGTGGGGTTTATCAGGCAATAGGTAACACGGCAGAAGAAGCCGTGCGTGTGAAAGGCACGCATTATATGTACAGTTATGCGCGTCACGAAACATGGAAGGTTTCGGAAGGAAGGTACATCACCTTCGTACAATTATATGAACGTAAAAATGGGATGACGAAAAGGGTAAAAAGGCTACAATTTTACAAAAAAAAAAAAACTCATTTTGTCTACGTGAAAAGAATTCATTTGGCACATGTGCACAACACAAGAGGGTGTGGGTGGGATTGTGTGTATAGGTGCATGTACGTACCTGTGCATACGCATGAAGGGTGGGAAAAAGGTAGTGGAGCGATGCAGCATCGATGCAACGAGGCAACAGTGCAACGCAGCAACAATGCAGCACAGCTAGGGTTACGGAAAAAAAGTGGTAACGTTGTCTTTACATTATGCTGTACCGAAGAAGGTACGCGGGATGGTATCCATAATATATACACTTCAAAAAATGAAAAAAAGAAGAACTACATTGCGGAAAAAATTTGCGAAAAAAAAATCATCTACACGGACTGCTTCTGCGAGAAGTATAAAATTAGCTGGTAGTACACATAGGAATATATGTCATATATATAAAATAACAACATGTTGTTTTCCAACTTCATCAAGGTAAATTTTACAATTTTGGTGTAATCGCATTTTTCTCCATAAAAGGTGTAAAACTTCTTCATGTTGATTTTTTTATTATCCTTTTTTATGGCTTCCGAAATTAAATCGTGATAAACGTCCATCAGGGAGTTATAAATCTTCGTGTTGACAAGATTGTCATACATGTATCCATTTAAATACGTTTCGGAAAATGAATTATTTCCCAAACGTTTGTAAAAGTAGCAAAAATTTTTCATATTTATTTGTATAAGGGAATAAAAATCGGTTAAATATTCCTTCTTAACATTGAAAAAGTCAAAGAAGGAAAAAAAACTGGTCATTTCGCGACCTTCTTCCGCCCCTGGAGTTAATGAGCTTTTTTTGTCAAACAGTTCTACATTTCCACAACCCTTGTTCTTCATCTTCTCTTTTACAATGCCATTCTTATTAGTTAAGAATAAATTATTTATAATAACAAAAATGTCTTTTTTTTTCTTCCCTATGAATAAATTGAGTTGTTTTTCCATGTCTGCTTCGTAATTAATGACGCAGACAATTATAGACACCTTCTCGTTGATGATAATACAGGAGGCCAACAATATTTCCTCGGCATCGTCATCACTTTCTTCCTTATCTAATTCTTTATGCAGAAAATTTATCACGCAGTTATCTTCATTCGCTAGTATTAACTTCCCATTTCGCATATTTAGGAAATTAAAGAGTTGGGCCATAAAATCGTTAAATATGGAGATGTCCAGATATTCCTTATTGTAATTTTTGTATACAGGAATTATTCCTATAACGTTTTTCCTTTTAATAACTTCTTTGAGATAATGCCTTCCAAAATTGTTCGTCATGTCGCATATGATATCGACTTTTACGTTTGACTCCGGGCTGGAACAATCACCAGCAGCTCCCGCACCGCCAACATCTTGTTTTTCCTTTATATCTTCTTTTTCATTTTGGGTTTTGTAAAAAAGTGCATAAATTTTTATAAAAAGCAAAGAGATAATTCCGATAGAAATGCATTCAATAGTACCTGTCATTTTTCCGTCGAGCGCATATACATATGTACATAGGCATACGCATAATGCTGTACATACGTGTATATACTGCGTATATAAATGCGTATACAATTAAGTATACAATCGAGTATACAATTCAGTATACAATTCAGTATACAATTGAGTATACAATTAAGTATACAATTGAGTATACAATTGAGTATACAGTTGAGTATACAATTGAGTATACAATTGAGTATACAGTTGAGTATACAATTGCGTGTACAATTACGCGTACAATTACGCGTACAATTACGTATATATGTATGCCCCCCTCTTCGCGCGTACAAAACGCAATGCTCCTAAAAAGGATTCAAATAAAGTAAAACAATGGCCCCTTCACTGCTGCGATACTCTACTGCGGGATTTACTCCATAACATTTTAAAAAAAAGGGAATTAAATTGGGGCTAAATACATGAAAACGCAAAAAGCGTAAAACGGGTAAAAGGCGAATCAAACAATGGGACAAGAAACATTTTCTCGAGTTTCATTTCTTCTCCTCCACAGTCTTGCCTCCATTCAGTAATTTACTTAAAAATGGCATAACAAAATGAGATGATTTAACTGAAAATAAAATAATTAAACAATAGAAAAATTGCAAAGTCATATAATTATATTACGTATAGGCAGCCCCGTGCTGTACTAATTTATGCGATTTTGCGCGTGATAAAAAAGGTGGCCGCTTGCGCAAAAACGAAAGAAGGAAGAAGCGGGAATACCGAAATTGTTATATTCTTTTTTAACAAAAGGCAGGGCACCATGCATACTGAACTCTACATGATCTTTTTATTTCCTTTTGAACTCGGGGGAAGAAGGTCCAGTCAAAAAAATACGTACATGCATGAGCGGATATTATAACATGTATGAAATATGTACATATATAGATATGTATATATATACATATACTTGCATACGCTCATACACCGTTTGTATTATATATATACAAGATGCATATATTCCTTTTTGTGTGAACCCACCGCATGGTCTTCCCCCCTTTTTGGTGTAAATAGAAAAGATAATAATCATAAAATCATGCCTGTTCCGCGGTGCAGGTAGAAACCGAAATGCTTATAGGACGCAAATGAATTGAACATATGAGTCACAGAGCATCAGAAGGCGCTGCGGGCATAGCGACGCCTTTTTTTTATGCCACTTTTAAACCAAAATAAGTATGATAAAAAATTGGAATGAAAAAACATACGCATAAATATAGAAAAATAAAATAATTTAAAAAATATTTTAAACTTAAAAAAGTTAGAAAAAAGAAAATCCAATCCAAAAAAGCGACTTTTGTCCATAATTGAACAAATGCGCCCTCTGAATTATTTTAATACGGAAAAAATGGTAGGTAGGGGCGTAGGTATGAATTGCCCTCTGCGCGCTGTAAAATCGTCTCAGCACAAATCCTTCCTACTGCGCAGGTTGGTGAAAATTGGCCCTTGATTGTTTTCACCACTGGCCACAAAGAAGCATGAAAAAGAAAAAAAAAAAAAAGTCAAGCCAGGCGTTCTGCAGTTTTACGGATTAGCAGCCGTTTCACTGTACTGCTCAACAGAATGAGGCGTCAAAAAATATTTGTCGAAATGTAGAATTTCTTTCTGTTCGCAACGGCAACTTTTCCCATATGGAAAAACATTTGCACTGTTTTAAAAACATTTTGTTTTACATTTTGAAGAAGTATATCATTTCGTGTAGTTTTAATTCGGTTTAATTGTCGAATTGTTCATGTAGCCCTTTTTTTTCCTTTCTTTCTTCGCCGCCGTCTCGCCAAGCATGGCGCGAATGGATTAAATTTTTATCTTCAAGTAAAACATCCCTTTTATTTGAATTCCCGTCAATTTTTACTTCTCCGAGCGTTTTCCGGCATGTATTAACACTCCCATTTGTGCACAGTCTTTCATGTGGCACATGCCAGTCGAGTCAATAGTATAATATAATGGGATAATAAAAAAATGCAGAAGGCTTTCGCGTCCGCATGATAGCAATGAATACTTTTTTCCACTTTTCTAACTCCATAACAACACAAAAGGGTTCATTTTTTAAAATTATAAGTGTGTCCCTGTGCAAATTGCAAAATGACTTTAAAAAATGATTACGCGGGGTAAACGTTCCGGCAACACTGTGACATGCGATCACGGGTGCATAGTATGCATTTGCACATATATATCCATATGCACATGTATACTTATGCATACCTACACGTATACGTATGCATACCCACACGGCACTGCCAACCTGCAGGTTCTGCTTCCACCCAAATAAAATAAGCAAAATTGACAGAATCGATGGAGACATAAGCGCTGAGCAGTTTTATCTGGACTACATCTTAAAGAGAAAACCGTGTCTAC